TCCTATGAGCAGGGCCTCATATTCTGCTTGGTTGTTTGACATCGGGAAGGAAAGAGCTAGGGAGTGCTCGATCACTACACCCTCTTCATTTTCCAGAAGGATTCCTGCGCCACTTCCGGACGAGCTGGATGCTCCGTCGACGAAGATGGTCCACTTGTGTTCCTTCCCCGGGGGTGGGTCATGAGTGGTCATTTCCGCGACGAAGTCGGCCAGGGCCTGCGCTTTCAAGGCTTTCCTACTCTCGTACTGAATGTCGAATTCGGTGAGTTCCAAGGACCATTTTAGCATTCTGCCCGCCATATCAGGTCGACCCAGGAGTTGCCTCACCGGTTGGTCAGTTTGCACGATGATCGTGTGGGCCAAAAAATAGTGTCTGAGCCTCCTCGCCGCGTTGACAAGGGCTAGGGCCACCTTTTCTATCTGTTGGTATCTGCTTTCGGGTCCTTGCAGGGCTTTGCTCGTGAAGTAGACGGGTTTCTGTCTGTCGGTGGTCTCGCGGACGAGGGCCGCACTGATGGCTTCGTTCAAAACGGCCAAGTATAAGTACAGTGGCTCCCCGTCGGCTGGTCGAGATAGCACAGGCGGCTGAGATAGACTTTGCTTTAGGTGGCGTAGCGCCTGCTCGCACTCCTCATTCCATTCAAAGGCTGCTTCCTTTCGAAGGAGTTTGAAGAAGGGGAGGGCGTGCTGAGCGGATCTCGCGACGAAGCGGGATAGTGACGTGAGCATGCCGTTCATGATTTGTATCGACTTCTTCAACGTTGGTGTTGGGAGGTCGGAGAACGCCCGACATTTATCGGGGTTGGCTTCAATTCTTCGTTCTGTTAGGTAGAATCCAAGGAGTTTTCCTGCCTTAACCCCGAATGTACATTTCTCGGGGTTGAACCTCATTTTACATTGTCTTGCTTGGGCAAAGACCGTCTTGAGGTGTGCTGCATGGTCGGTGTCTGCTCGGGACTTGACGATCATGTCGTCCATATACACCTCGAGCATGTCGCCGATCTGTTTGTGGAAAACTTTGTTCATCATGCGCTGGTAAGTTGCCCCGGCATTTTTCAGTCCGAAGGGCATTACGTTGTAGTAATAGTTGCCCGAGCTGGTCATGAATGTGGTGCAGTGTTTGTCGCCCAGGGCCATCGGGATTTGGTTATAGCCCGAGTAGGCGTCCATGAACGACAACGTTTTGTAGCCGGCCGAGTTGTCGACCAGCATGTCTATGTTAGGCAAAGGAAAAGCATCTTTCGGGCAAGCTCGGTTGAGATCAGTATAATCAACGCACATCCTCCATTTTCCATTATTCTTTTTAACGAGTAAAACATTTGACAGCCAGGTGGAATACCGGGCTTCAGAAATAAAATTTTCCTCTAGGAGGTCTTTTACAGCTTTCTCAGCAGCCTCCGTTTTTTCTGGAGACTACCTACGCCTACGTTGTACTACGGCCCTAGCGGCTGGATCAATGGCGAGGTGGTGACAGGCGACCTCAGGGTCGAGTCCGGGCATCTCCGCGGCGCTCCAGGCGAACAGATCAGCATTCTCGCGCAGGCAGGCCTTGATTTGCTTCCTGGCCAAGTCGGGGAGGTCTTTGCCAATCTTCACACCCTTGTTCGGAACCGTGCCGAGGGGGACGAGTTCAAAATCCCCGTCCGGTATTGGTCGGAGTGGGATTTGCTCGCTGCTGGATGGCTCGTCCTGGTCGAAGCGAGTGTCCAGAGCTATGGAATCGACTTTTGGTGGAGCTTTCTGGACTTCTTCCTCGGGGGATGCTCTCTTGTCGGGCTCCTGTCTTGTCCTTTTGGCGGGTCTGGTCCCTATGTCGACAGTATCACGTCCCTTGGAAGCGGCATTGAAGCACCTGCGGGCAGCGGCTAGGTCTCCTTGGATAGTAGCTACTCGTGCCCTCTTGGTGTAGAACTTCATCTTCAGGTGGACGGTCGAGGGTACCGCTGTCAGTTCTTCTAGTGTCGGTCTCCCCAAGATGCAGTTGTACAGAGACGGGCAATCGATGACTAGGAAGCGTACTTTGACTTGTCTTGTAGCCGTCCCTTCGCCGAACGTAACCAGAAGCTCGACATATCCCCAAGGTTTAGAGGTCGAGCCGTTGAAACCTTGTAAGTCCGACCCTACATACGGCGAGAGATGTGAGTCGTCCAGCTGTAGGGTTCAGAACAGTTGGCTGTACATGACATCGACGGAGCTCCCTTCGTCGACCAGGATGCGATGTACATCAAAATTGGCCATTCTTGCCCTTATCAGTAAGGGGATGACCGCGTTCGGGGCTCCGCCGGGGAGCTCTTCTAGGTAGAAGGTGATGGGCTCTGACCTTCCCTTCACCCTTTCGAACGTCACTGTTTGCGGGGGAGCCGCGTCGACCAGCTCGTCCAGCTTCCTCTTGGCTGAATTGATGGTCAAGTCGTTGAACCCGCCGCCGTTGATGACCAGGGCGGAAGGGAAATATTCCCACCTGCTGTGCGTTGTGAGCGGCTCCTGCAGGTGCTCAGGGAAGTCGAAGTCCTCGGGCCTGGTCACGGAGAAGGCGGTTTGGATAGGGACCGACTCTTCAGATGGTCGGGCATCCTCCTCCGGCTCTCTAGTTTCTTAGGCGTCATGACGGGGAGCATCGTTTCGCCGGTATTGCGCGAGCCTCCTTCCCTTGATAAGGGTTTCAATGGCGTCCTTGAGGTGGACGCAATCCTCAGTCAGATGACCATGGCTCCTATGGTACTAACAATATTTGTTCTTGTCTGCTCCGGGCTTGGTGGGAGTAGGTCGGGGACGTTTGATACTGCCGTCCTTGAAATCAGTGCTGGCACACTCCGCCAGAATGCGCTCGCGGGAAGCTGTGAGCGGAGTGTACTCGGTGAAACGCCCCGAAGGTCCTCTTTGTTCCCGGACTTCCCGGGGTCTGTCTTCTTTCCTTTTCTCCCCGGTTCGTCGAGGAGGGGCTTCTTGGCGTGAGCTGCTGCTGGGACCACGAGTTCTGGGATCTCGGGCTCTGTTGGCCGCTTCCCTCTCCTCGTAGTCCATGTATGCCCGAGCTTTTTCGAGGAGGGCATCGAATGTCCGAGGTGGCTCGATGCCCACGGCCTTTCTGAATTCCGTGCCGGGGAGGAGCCCTCTCTCCAGCAAATATCTCTTCATATGGTCCGCACAGGGGACTTGTATTGCTTCCCGGTTGAAGCGGTTGATGAATTCCCTCAAGGTTTCATCCTGTCTTTGGATGATGGCCTCGAGAGCCGCCTCGGTCTTCGGATGCCGCCGAGAAGCTGTGAAGGAACTGATGAACTGGTTCTTCAGGTTCCGCCACGAGGTGATTGAGCCCGGGGCGAGTCCTTTGTACCAGTCCATTGCCGCCTTCCTGAGAGTCGTGGGGAATAGACGGCACTTGATGGGGCCCCCGACATTGTGATAATGAAGCATAGCCTCGAACCCGTCTATGTGGTCGACCGGGTCCGCGACTCCATCGTACTCCTTCAGATGAGGGGGCTTCTCCATGCCGGGGGGAATGGGTGCTTCCATAATAGCCTGCGACAGGGGACCGCGGGGGTCGTCCTCGTCGCTTCTCTCCGGAGATAGAGATGAGGACCTGTAATACTGTCTGGCACGACGGTCCAGGTCATGCTGAGTCTCTCTCGAGCGGGATGCTCGGTGGTTGAATTTCACACGCCCCTCTCCGGAGTGCCTTCTTTCCTGTCTCGCCGGGTCACGACTAGGTTCTCCGGCTTGAACGATGGGGGGCCTCTCCAGATGAGGCAATTTCTCTTTTGGCCGAGGAGATTGGCTTCGAGAGGTCTCCCTGTAATGTCTCCGCGGGGGAGAAGGGTGTCGAGCTTCAGTCACTCGAGGAGGGGGAGTATGGGGCCTCTGATGCCTCCTCGGGGGTCTTCGCTCGTCTTCAAGCGCCCTCAGTCTCTCTCCTTGGGCGAAGATGAGATAGTTCGTTTGATTAATCGCTGCGAACAGCGCTTGAGTTGTGGCATCCGCCCCGGCGGGGACGGGGACTTCCTGGAACCGGGCAGCTCTGTAGTGTGCGAGGGCCGCCGGGTCGTCTTCGAGCGGTGGAGGGACCGAGGAAGATGATGCAGTAGCTCCGTCCCTGTAGGTGGAAGTTCCGGGGGCGGTTGTCGCAGGAATGGTGTTGTGACCGGGGTTGCCGGCGTTATCAAGGTGTCCGTTTTTGTCCGCGGTGCCGTTATTAGTGTCGACGACACGGACGTTCTGCTCATCGCGAGCTTGATCAGCCATGACAGCGGTAGTTGAATTTGAGCTTTGGTCTTTGAGTTTTGTAAGACGGGGAAGCTAGTTTCCCACAGACGGTGCCACTGATCTGACCTGACCAGACTTGGACCGTCACGGCTGGCTCCGAGCTGAAGTTTTGAACGAGGTGGGGGGGTACCTGCAAGGCACTCCGATGCTGAAGTAAGTAAGAGTACGAGCAGGCAAAGTGTGAGTATATGTGATAGAATGAATACCTGACCCTCTGGAAACAGAGGGTATTTATAGCCCCCAGCGCTGGGCCAAGGTTCCTTCATTGGGCCGGGCAGGTTTGGCCCAATGGAGGAGCTGCCAGGTTCTACGTGCGTAGTGGAGACCCGCACGTGGTCCCCTTCCTGGATGTTCTTGCGTGAAGTGCGGGCGGACAAGGACGCGGTCTTTTTGGGGTCCCGTTGAGAGAGCAGTGGACCGTGTCCGCTGTTGAAGGAGTGCTCGAGTTGAGGTCGAGCTGGATAGTACGAGGACGGGCATGTCGCCCCAATGACGTATGTCGGGCATATCTATGGTCCTTAGGTCGGCGTGACCCCTAGCAAGTCCGTTTGGATTGGGCCTTTATCGTTGCTCTTGGGCCAGTCCGGCCCAGTTCAGAACAATTATTATTATCATTTAAGGAAAAAATCATACTTTCTTCTATTTATAATTTACTTTTAGTTTTATTTTGGGATATTACTTTTATTCATGAAAAAAAATGCATTAGATTTATTTTGTTTTTCATGTTTATCATTGTGATGTTTATGATTAGAACTTTTAAACAATATAGAAAGAAAAAAACGAAAAAGAAAAGACAGAGAGGATTTTTTTTCGGTTCACCTTTCTCCTTAAACGATGTCATCAACAAATCATTTCCAATCTTCCAAATTCAACAAAATGAGATTAAAAAAAATCAAATCTACAACAATTCAGAATCTCATCAAAATCATCCCAATCTTTATTCAGGACTTAAATCAAGTCAAGATCCAAAACTTCAAGGCTATGAAAATCAATACAAAAGGAAATCAAATCTTCAAATTCTTGACACAAAATCAATCAAAACTTCACTAATTTCAAGAAATCCATTACAATCCAAATCATCCTTAGAATTGCTCAATCAACATTAACTGAAAGTCCAATCCATTCAATTCAATCTCCCCAATTTCATCTCAATCATCCACAATGGAAATTGAATGGATCAATGGCTCTAGACCTAAAGTTTTGATATAAAAATCCAAGTAGAACTTAGGAGAAGGGAAGCTAAGAATCTGAAACCGAAAAAACATACAGATAAAAAAACAACAAAGTTTCTCCTCCGAGTTCGACGCCGACGAAGCACTCCACGTCCAGTATCACGGGGAGAATCACGTGTCTCATCCTTCTCTGCTCACGAACAACCGCCAAACTCCCGGCTGCATACCCTTCTTGTTGTTCTGGCCAAATCAACACACCTCTATCCAACTGAGTCGCTCACACCAACCACAGTGATCGTCGCTACCAGCAGTGACTTTGATCACCTCCTTCGATTCACAAGTAACGATAATTTTTCTCTGTTTCCAATTTTATGTTACTGTTCTTATTTGGTTTCATTTCAGTATTTGTCTGGATTTTTGAGGAATTTTGCTCTTGAGAAGTCTTGTTGTGAGAGGAGGAAGAAAATGGGTATGAAAAGAAGAAGAGAGATCCATGTTGTGTTTTTGGTTTCTTTTGGATATTGTTTAGTTCGCGTATGTATATAATCTCTTTTTATTTTTATTCCATTCATCTGCCACATGTGACAAGTCGAGTGGGCTATTAACTTATGTTATTTAAAAAGAACATTTTCAAAAATGTGAGATATTGGATCGAACTCCATTGGGTCGAAGAATAGCTTCTGGTTCGACATGATTTATGCAGGTCATTGAAGTATGTTCACATGTTGGTGTCGAAGACTCATATACTGTAGTCGAAGTATGTTCTAGTATGTGGGTATCTAAATGCTAGAGTTGTTATTGTTTTGAATTGGGTCTTTTTGTTATCTCCATTTGTTTAAGTCTGCGTGTATCCTAAGTTAGTTTGTAATGGATATTTATGAAAAAAAAACCCATTAGTTTAGTATGTTAGGTTTATTACAAATGACATACTAGTCTCTCATTATTGCATACTGCAAATCCTAATTTAGGGTTATTTGTTATTCTTGTGTACTTGTAATATGCTTTGAAGAGAAAGTAAAGAATAACAATTATAAACAATCATTGTTGTTAGTTATAAACCATCATTGTTGTTAATCTTGTTTATCATCTTTTCTACCCTTGAAGGTTTCCCTCTAATGAGGAAACCTATTATATTTTGTTTCCAAGGCATCTTTTATCACAACAAATTGGTGAGGTGAGCATGGAGCAGATGCCTTCAACAAAGTATGAGATTGAAAAGTTCACCGGAGTGAACAATTTCGGTCTGTGGCGCTTGAAGATGAAAGCCCTATTGGTTCAGCATGGTTGTTTGGAAGTGTTGAAAGGAGCGATGGCCATGGATGCTACGTTAACGGAAAAACGTAAAAAGAAAATACGACCATGATAGAGATAACCCACATCACAATCTTGTTGAGCCTTGGTAATAAGGTTCTTCGACAGGTATCAAAGGAGACGACGACATCAGGGTTATGGGTGAAACTTGAAAGTTTGTACATGACCAAATCACTGGTAAATCAACTCTACCAGAAGCAAACTTTGTATTCATTCAAGATGATTGAAGATAAAGTGTTGGTTGAGAAGTTGGATATGTTCAACATGATGATTCTTGATCTTGAAAATATTGATGTGAAGATTGATAATGAAGATCAAGCATTGTTGTTATTATGCGCTTTGCCTAGAACACATGCTCACTGCAAAGAAACTCTCTTGTATGGAAGGGAGTCCATGACCTTTAAAGAAGTTCAATCAGCCTTGTATTTTAAGGACTTGAACAAACGAAAGGAGCATAAGCCTTCGACGGTTGGTGAAGGTTTGGCCGTTAAGGGAAAATTCTTATGAAAGGATGGTAAGTTCGACAAGAAGAAATGCAAAAGTCAGCAGAAGTCTTATAGTGGGGAAGCATCTGGTATTCGATGCTATCATTGTAAGAAGGAGGGTCACACAAGAAAGGTGTGTCTTGAACGCCTGAAATATTGTGGAGGTAAGGATAATGGCAATTCATTTATTGTTCAAGATGATTTTGACTCATCTGATATTCTTGTGGTTTTGAGTAGCAACTCGTCGAAGGAGTGGATTATGGATTCTGGGTGCACTTGGAACATGACTCCAAACAAAGACTTGTTCGAAGATCTATGTGATCAAGATGATGGATCAGTATTGCTGGAAAACAACAAAGCTTACAAGATTGCAGGTGTTGGATCTGTGAGATTTAAGCTCCATGATGATTCAATAAAGTTGTTGACTGAAGTCAGGTATGTACCTAATTTGAAGAGAAGTCTGATTTCTCTTGGTGAATTCGACAAGAAAGGATATGTTTTCTAAGGAGATAAAAGTATCCTAAATGTCATGAAGGGGTCGATGTAAGTCTTGAGAGGCATGAAGAAGCAAGGCTTGTATACTCTTGAGTCTGAAGTTGTAAGTGGTTTGACAAATGTTGCATCCATGAAGCCTTTGTCGAAGACATAAATTTGACACATGAGATTAGGCCATGTCAGTGAAAGGGGCCTGGTCGAATTAGGAAAACAAAATTTGTTTGGTGGAGACAAAGTCGAATAGCTGAAATTTTGTGAACTATGTACTTGGAAAATCTTATAGAGTGAAGTTCAACAAGGGAAAACAAAGAACACATGTATCCCTTGATTACATCCATGTTGATCTTTGAGGGCCTGTAAGGTGTCCATCACATTTAGGAGCAAGGTATTTTCTATCTATAATAGATGATTGTTCCAGAATGTTACGGTTATTCATCCAGAAGACTAACGATGAAATTTTTGAGAATTTCAAAAGTTGGAAGACTCTGGTCGAAAATCGGACTCACAAAAAGGTCAAGAGGCTAAGAACCAACAATGTCCTTGAAATTTGCAATGAGGCTTTCAACGACTTTTGTGTTTCCTCTGGTATTGCAAGGCACATAACTACTGCAGGTACTCCATAGAAAAATGGTTTGGCTGAAAGGTTTAATCGAACTATTTTTGAGAGAGTTAGATACATGATGATTAGTGCTGGGTTAAAGAAGGTGTTTTGGGCTAAGGCTATTTTGACAGCTATATATATGATAAATAGATGTCCTTCGACTGTGTTAGAGATGACGACACATGAAGAAGTTTGGCCAGGACATCCACCAGATCTCGACAAATTGAGAGTATTTGGCTGCATATCCTATGCTTACATTAGGCAAGACAAGGTCAAACCTAGAGCTCTGAAATGAATGTTCATGGGATACCCTGAAGGAGTCAAAGCTTATAGGCTATGATGCTTAGAGCCAGGTCACAAGAGGATTATCAACAATCAAGATGTAGTTTTCAATAAAGATGAAATGGCTTTAAAGAAAAATGATGATGTTGATCGAAGTGCAGAAATATATGACGAAGAGCTGGAATGGGGAGAGATTCCTGTTGAGGTAGAGAATGTTGATGTTGAATTGCGTATCCCAAATGAAGTCGAAGAAGAAGCAGAAGATGGTGAGAAAGTTGAGAAAATTGTCGATGACTACCTATTGGCAAGAGATAGGACGAGAAGAGTCATCAAGCCACCTCAGAAACTTGGGTATGCAGATCTTATAACTTATGCCTTAATCTCTGCAAGGGAGGTTCTAGACGAAGAACCTAGAGACCATGAGGAAGTTATGAGGAGTCGAAATTAGACTGAATGGCTGAAGGCCGTGGATGATGATATGAAATCTCTTCATGATAACAACACCAAGACATTGTCAAAGTTTCATGAAGAAAGCTAGTTTGTTCTTTGATATTAGAGTTTTTTCTAAGGTGGAGGTTTGTGAGATATTGGATTGAATTCTATTGGGTCGAAGAGTAGCTTCTGGTTCGACATGATTTATGCATGTCATTAAAGTATGTTCACATGCTGGTGTCGAAGACCCACATACTGTAGTCGAAGTGTGTTCTAGTATGTGGATGTCGAAATGCTAGGGTTGTTAGTATTTTGAATTGGGCATGTTTGTTATGTCCATTTGTTTAAGTTAGATTGTATCCTAAGTTAGCTTATAATGGGTATTTGTGAAAAAACTCAATAGTTTAATATGTTAGGTTTATTATAAATAGTATACTAGTCTCTCATCATTGCATACTGCAAATCTTAATTTAGGGTGAGAGGGATATTTGTTATTCTTGTGCACTTGTAATCTGATTTGAAGTGAAAGTAAAGAATAACAATTATAACCAATCATTATTGTTAATCTTGTTTATTATCTTTTCTACCCTTGAAAGTTTTCCTCTAATAAGAAAACCTATTATATTTTGTTTCCAAGGAATCCTTTATCATAACAAAAAAAAAAACTGAGAGAAGAAACATCATTTTTTTGATTCATTCTAATACTAAGTTTGTTATAGAATCAAAAAACATGTTGTCTTCATTTACTAATCAGCATACCACGTGTGGAGGGTGTAATACGGTGGGAGAACTAACTTGTTTTTTGCGTTTTATTGCAAATATTGCGGATAGCAAGAGTCGCCACAAACTTTTCTTTTATCCAATAAGGAAAGGATGAAAATAACAGGAAAGACCTTTTAAGATTTTTGAGTTCGGGGGGGAGGGGCGGGGGGGGGGGGGGGGGGGGGTAAGTTATGAAAAGGGAAGGTGTTAACACCATTTTCATTCGTAGTTATCTACGGGCTCTTAATCGCTTAGCTCACTTTGAAAATTTGCTTTTCATGTGTGTTTGAAAAAATATTTTGAAAGTGCCAATGTAAGGCGAAACTTTGTAATAATTCTTGTATCGGTCCTCAAGAATGCGTACAAAGTATTTTTTGAAAATATTTTTGAGAGTCTAGTGTGATATGTTTTTGTTTTTGTGAGCAAGCGATTAAAAGTATCTACCCACTCAAGGTTGTTCTTGTACTTTTCCTCCTCCTTTAGATAATGATATCTGTATCATTAGTTAGTAGGAAGCCCTATCGTTGGATGTAAAGGGGAGGGCGTAGTGTCATCGTAGAGTCATC